ATCAGCCGTTAGGTAGCAGTCACTGCCCTCTCCTGTTTGAGCATGGGGTGGGCTTGAGACCCTGGGGTCATGCTTTCTCAGCACGGCCCCTCCCTGTTTGAGACCTGCCTGAGCCAGGCTGGTGGATAGGATGCTCCAGAACTCCTTGGGAGCAGTGTTCCCTAGCATTGTGGGAACTTGGGGCTGGCTGGGGGGCCACTCTCTGCTGGACCCCTGTCCCCGCACTGCCAAGGAGAAGCCCATTTTGGCCTGGTCCAGAAGGGAAGGCTGCCAGCTGCACCCCCCCCCTCCCCACCACCACCATGGGCTCCCCAGGGGCCTAGCTCTCCCCGCCAGCCGCAGTGGAGCCCCAGGCATTTCTGCTGTCGGTACCTGGGGTCTGATCCTCCCTTTGGGCTGGAACACAGATCCAGAGTTCCCAAACCCCCTTCCCTTCTTCCTGCTCCCTGGGTTTGGCCACAAGGCCCCCGGGAGGCCTGGCCATGCAGGGTTACAGCAGAACAGAGAAGGGGCTCTCGCGACGACTCCCTGGCTGGCCGTGTTGCTGTTTACTGGATGTGGAAACCCGCTTTGCTTATCTTCTCTCTAGGCCACAGAAAGCCCACTCCAGCCAGCCTGCCACAGGAGCTGGTTCTGGAAAAACAGCTGTGTGGAGTGGCTCAGAGTCACAAAGCATCAGAGTTTAAATCTGAGCCTTCCCACTTTCCAGCTGGGTGGCCTTGGGCAAGTTACTTAACCGCCCTGAGCCTTGGATTTCTCACCCGTGAGACGGGAATAATTCCTCTCTCCGTAGGCTGGCGTGAGGTTGTATGCAAGCCCTCACATGGTGCCCGGCACGTAGTAGGTGTTCAGGGAATAGCGGCTCTTTCTCCAACCCTCGTGGTCTCTAGCTTCGGTTACATTATCACGGACCTTCTCCCTTCTGCTGTTCTGTGCCCCCTTGACCAGAGAGAGTCCTGACGTTTGCTTGATTTTCTAGTATATGCCCAGTGGCCGTCCCAAGCCAATATCTGATGTGGAGCCCTACCCTGGGGTCTTGGCAGGGGATGTTGACCTTGGCTGAGGTGGGGAAGAAGGACACCAGACATAGCCTTCTTTTCTGCCCTGTGGGCGTCTCTTGATGTATCCCGCTGGGACCCACAGCCGCGGGAAGTCTCCCCAGGGCTGGTGCACGGGCCTGACCTTTGGCATTGGGAGGGTGGAGGCCGACAGCCAGTTCTTGAGCGCACAGCCAGATTAGAGCCTGCCAGGGGGCCGCCCGCGCGAGGGCCGGGGTCCTGGGCCTCTCAGGAGGCTGCACCTCTTGGCTGTGGCTCCCCCTCCTGGCTGTGGCTCCAGCACCAGCTCACGGCTGTGGCTGGGACCTGTGTGCCAGGGCACTTCTGCAGCCCTGTCCAGCCCCCTCCTTGGCCTGTGGGAAGGGTCAGGACAGCTTCAGCTGAATCAGAGCCCTACTCAAGGGCTGGGGGTGATGGGGGTGTGTGCAGATGAGGGTGCCGGGGCACCCCAGACAGACCCCACTAGGGGATGTGGAATGGCAGGGCCAACCCCACCTTTTTTTTTTTTTTAAGTTTATTTTGAGAGAGAGGGAGAGGGAGCGCATGAGCAGGGGAGTGGCAGAGAGAGGGAGAGAGAGAGAATCCCAAGCAGGCTCCACACTGTCAGTCCAAGGCCCGATGTAGGGCTCGAACTCATGAACCGTGAGATCATGACCTGAGCTGAAATCAGGAATCCGATGCTTAACCGACCGAGCTACCCAGGGCCCCCCTCCTTTTTTTAATGAGGGAATAAGGGTGTGAAATAGAATTACTTTATTTTTATCTCCTTATTTAGCATAAGAAAAGACTAGACTTGCTCATTGCTGAACCCTGCTGCTCTCAGAGCTTCAGAACTGTTCACCCACTCTTACACCCTGGGCCACCTGTTGGGGATCACTTTCCACCTTACTTTCCTGCAGACCTGCAGACAGTGGGGTCTGGGTGGCTCCGTTTCTGTTTCCTTGATTGACAATGGCTTCTTTCATCGTCGTTCTGAAAAGCTGGTTTGCTGGGCCCAGGATTGTGGGTTGACGGTTTCTTTATCTAGGGACTTTGGTGCTATTACTTCAGCGTCTCCCCTGGTCACTGCTGACAACCTACCCCTAACTAGATGGATGGTCCTTCCTTGGCAAGTGGCCTGTCGTCTCTCTCACCGCCTGGAAAGTTTTCTATTTGACTGACGTGAGCACGGAGAGAAGCCCCCTGAGAGACCGTGGCCGCCATCTCTCCCAGGGAAAGGAGCAGATACGCCCCGTGGGACTTCCAGAGAGAGACTTGAGGCCAGTGGAGGAGGCGGACGGGAAGGTTCAGTGGGGCTCACGGCGCCCAGAACTTTCTAACGGGCTAGCACACACGTTGCTGGAAGTGTGGGAGCGTGGGCTGGGGAGAGATTCCCATCGCGTGGGGGGCTGGCCTCAGCTGCCCTGATTACCACCGGCCTGGGGCTCTCTCGACGGTTCTGCATGACTCCTGCCTTTCTCTCCCCTGCCCTGAACCTCTGCCCATCTCCTCCGAAAGGCCCGTGACCTTCTCCAGCGGGACGCGTTCTGGGTCCTCCAGCAAGTCCTCCTGACCCCTCCCTCCCACATGTACACCACCTTCCTTTCCCCCAGCTCCTGGGGTCTAGGTCACCCGTCCCTGAAGCATTTGGTTGCCAGATTAGTTCAGAGTGCTGTGCTGAGTGGGGTCTCTCCGGATGGTGCGTCCCCCTTCTCCTTGCTCAGTACTGCATTTAGGCCAGTTACCCGGAGTGGGAGGTGGCATCGGAAGGCCCCGCTCAACCCCCACCAGTGATGGACACTCGGGCTCTGATCCTACTTTTTGTTCAGGGAGGCAGCAGCCTCCTCCCCAGTCCCACCGCGAAGACTTCCCCGTGTCCTGGGCCGGAGATGCCAGCCATTGGAGCGGGCGTCACTGGGGGCTTTGGTGGGTGGCTTTGGCCTGCTGAGTGTGGGGACAGTAAGGAAGGATTCGGGCAGCAACCTGCCTGGCCCGCTTTGGAGAGAGACAGAGCAGGAAGACAGTGGCCCCCTGAGAATTTCCAAAAGCCTAGAGGCCGTGCGGATGCCTCCACCCAAGCATTCCAGCGACTGATCTCTTTTCCTGCCCTGGGGCAACCGGTGGGGTTTCCATGTGTACATGTGGGGCACAGATGTGTCTGTGTGGAGCGTGCCCTGCTTATCACCCCATCTCTGGTCTGCTTGCCCGCAGGGCACATCAGGGAGGTCTGAGACACTGACCACGTAGAAGGCCACGTTCTGAGTTGGAGGGGCTGAAATGTCAAGGTTATTTAAGAGTTACTCCGGTGCAGATTATTTTGGCAGAACAGGAGAGAATTCTTAGGTTGGACTTGTTTGGGAGAAAGTGTGTGTGTGGCCGGTCGGCACCCCCGTCTTCCACCGCACAGTTCTCCTGTGACAGCCATTAGGATCCCCATTCTACAGAAACAGAAACAGAGGTGCCAAGGAGTTGCCTGATGTGCCCTAAGCCACAGAGCTAGGACCCGAACCCGGGACTCTGGCCCCCAGTAACTGCATTGCTTCACCAGTGCTGTGCTATGACACTGACCCACCCAGCGAGTCACTGAGCGAGTCTCGGGGGTTACGTCCAGCTAGGGGATTAATTATCTAAGTCGTGGCCCATCATACGCAGACATTAGAGATGATACTTTTTTTTTAAAAGTTTATTTCGAGGGGGGAGGGGCAGAGAGGGAGAGAGAGAACCCCAAGGAGGCTCCACACTGTCAGCAGAACCCGACGTGGGGCTCGATCCCACGAACCGTGAAATCATGACCTGAGCCAAAACCAAGACTCGGATGCTTAACTGACTGAGCCACCCAGGCGCCCCCTAGAGGTGATGCTTTTAAACATACAGAATACTGTTTCATGAAACAACCAATGTGTTAACGGTATATTCAGTATGATTACTGTTTTGTAAATTGAGCCTCCCCCTCCCCCCCCGCCCGCCCACCACACACACACACACACACACACACACACACACACACACAGATACACATCCAGCAAGAAGCACGTTAACTGTGGTTATTGTACATCTGGCGGATTGTAGTTTGGGCAATTTGATTTTCCTCTTTCACCTTTTTTTGTACTTTTCAAAGTTTACAGGGTGAAATGTTTTATATTCAGAAAAAAAAGTTAAAACAAAAAAGCTGGAATTGTTCAAGGGGCATCCTTAGGAGATGGGCACTCAGGGGAGGGTGAGCTGCCTGTCTCTGGGGGTGGACAGACAGAGCCTCATCCATCTGTCATGGACACTGTTCCGGGTCTCCTGATTCGGGGAGTAGGAGGGATAGCATTCTTTGGCGGCCTGTGCGGGACACTGTCCCACGGACCCCTGGGCCTGTGGGAGAAGGGAGTTTTCCAAGGCCATGGTCCTCAAACTTGACCGTGGCTGCGCATCCCCGGGGATTGTGTTCAGATTACAGACTCTGACTTGGGAGGTGGGCCCGAGACTCTGCATTTCCAAGGTCCTCGTGTACTTTCCTTTGGATTTGCCGTGGAAAAGTGCCCGGGCACTACGGAGCAGACAGACGATTCCGGTGGCAATTGGAGGGGTACCCAGGGGCTTGAGGATGAGCGACCCGGGCCGGGGGACATTTGTGGAAGGACTCTCCTGAGCCGTGGAAAGATGAGTCTTTGTCAGAGGGCTGAGTGTGAGGCCAGCCCCTCACGCTTGGCTTCGTGGAGAGAGTGCACAGGTGGAACTAGGCGGGGCAGGATTTGAATCCCAGGTCTGCAGCAACTTAGCGGTGTGGCCTTGGGAAGGTCCTTTTGCCTCTCTCTGCCTCAGTTTCTTCGCCTGTACAGTAGGGAGAAGAATGCTGCCTGAAAAGGCCATGGTGAGGATAACACGGGTCAGGTACCTGGCTCAGTACCTGCTGTGTGGTAGGCTCTTGACAAACGTTTGCTTCCCTTAAAATTGCATGCTCTTTTCTGCTTGCAGGTGGATGAGATTTACCACGATGAGTCCCTGGGCGCCCACATAAACATTGCCCTTGTCCGCTTGATCATGGTCGGCTACCGGCAGGTGACCACCTCCCTTCTGCAACTGGCAGGGTTTGGAGGGAGAGGGGGTGTGGGGCTGGTGCATCGGACGGGCTGTGGTGTGGGGAGGGGCTGGTCAGCCTGTAGGAAGCATTTTGGTCCCAGAATCGGAACCCTGAGACCGTCAGAGTTGAGGCTTCAGGGGCAGAGGCATTTGGGGATGCTAAGCGGGGTCTGGGGGATTCCCTGCAGTCTGGAAGCAGGCAGTCCTATGCCCTGGCAGCTGGAGATCCCTCTCCTTGAGGACCCCACGCAGAAATGGGCTCTGAGCCGGGCAGTGACCGCGAGACAAGTGCTGCTCTGGTTGGACCCTGGGGCCCTGGGCTCTGCAGTCTTAGACCGACTGGTGGCTTCTTCTCCCCCGGGTGGGGGTGGCAGCAGCACCTTCCTCCAGGGGCTGTTGTGAAGATTAGATGAGACCACGAACACAAGGCACAGAAGTGCTCAGAACTACCCCCGCCTTGCAGCTCGGTCGAGGGATGCGAGAGAATGCGTGTTGAGTTCCCCGCAGACAGGTGTCCCGGCGCAGGGCCTGGCACACGAGTGTTCCCCGAAGCGGGAAGCGGGAGGGCTGTGCGCATGCACAGCGACCTGGGGACAGGCACCGCGTCCCACGGGCCTCGGTGTCCTCTGCCACCGGGAGGGGAACGACGGGTGCCCGCTGGCAACCCCCTCTCTGTTGACGCTCTTGGCCCCCGCAGTCTCTGAGCCTGATTGAGCGGGGGAACCCCTCTCGCAGCCTGGAGCAGGTATGTCGCTGGGCACACTCTCAGCAGCGCCAGGATCCCAGCCACGCAGAGCACCATGACCACGTCGTCTTCCTCACCCGGCAGGACTTTGGGCCCTCAGGTACGCAAGGTACTGTATTGGCTGTGGCCAGGTCTTGCAGCTGCAGGGCAGAGGCCGGGGCTCGGGGCTGGGCTCTCTGGAGCCACCCGAGGAGCTCTGAGGAGCCACTCAACAGAGAGGTTCACGGGCCTCTGGAGAAGGACCTGGCCCATCTGGATGGGCAAGCTTTAGAGTGGTTTCCTCGGGCATCAGGGGAAGTGAATGGGTCCCCGCTCTGGTCCCTGCTGTCTGGGTCGAGCCTGCGGGTGGCCGCGAGTGGTCAGGCTTACTGTCCCAGAGCCTGGCTGCGGGAAGACCTGTCAGCATCTTCAAGATGCTTCTGTTCCCCAGCCCCCCCACCCCCCACCCCCGTATCGATATGGGCTCATCACAGGCCTCGGGGCACCCAGCAGGTGCCTGTGTGTGGACACGCTCCACACCTCTCTGTGCAGCGACCCCAGCTCACTTCTTCTCCCCTGGTCCTCCCACCTGCCGAGTGGGGAAAAACCAGTTGCTGCTTTCCCCCATTCCAGCCCGCCACAAGGGCTGAGGGAGGCCTGAAATAGATGCCTGTGGTCGTGCGTGCTCTGCAGACACGTGAAGCTTTGGTCACTCGCAGTTTTCCCGGTGGGGAAACTGAGGCACAGAGTGGCGAAGAGGCTTGCCCCTGTCCTCTAGCAGAGACGAGACAGATCTGCAGCGCTGACTGGATCTTCAGGCTCCGAGTTGAGGGCTTTCTAGTTTTTCCTGGTCTGATTCCAGAAGGGAGTCAGCTGGCCATGCCTCTATCCAAAGCCTCCTTGTCTGAATGCCCGAAGTGTCAAGTGTGGGGTTTGCTCTCTCTCTCTCTCTCTCACACACACACACACACACACACACACACACACACGTACACACACACACACAGATATATATGTACACGGATCACATAGATACACACGCTTAAGCATGCGGATACATGTACGTACTTACACGTGCGTGCTCGTGCACAGACACATGTGGCCAGACGTACCAACACACGTGCAGGTGTATCCCCACGTCTCACGTAGAGTAAACCTCAGAACTCCAGGACAGTAAAGGCCCCAGGAAGCTCCTTCACACCGCAGCCTCTCATTAGAGTCCCCCGAAGCGTCTCAGATAAAAGAGCATTTGAGCACTTCTGAAGACCGGGTAGAGTCGTCTGGATAACCGCAGCCCCAGGCAGGAAGTGCTTTCTGCCCTCACCCCTTCTCCGAGGTCTTTCCCAGCTCAGCCTTCCCTCCCAGCCTATAACGGGGCCCCAGGGAGGCTGGGAAGCAGGCCCCTTAGAACGCAGGCCTCGTGGGGTGGCCTGGGTGGCTCAGTTGGTTAAGCGTCTGATTCTTGATTTCGGCTCAGGTCGTGATCTCACGGTTCGTGGGATTGAGGCCCACGTTGGGCCCTGTGGTGACAGCGAGGAGCCTGCTTGGGATTCTCTCTCTCTCTCTCTCTCTCTCTCTTTCTGCCCCTCACCCATGGACATGTGCTTTTTTTCTCTCTCTCTTCAAATAAGTAAATAAAAAAGAATTCAGGCCTCGCACACAGTAGCTACTTAGCAAACATTACTGGGGCTGCTACGTGCAGCCCCCTGCACTGCCTTTCTGTGTGG